GGCCGCCGCCGGGCCCCCTCGCTGCCAGGTCAAAGCTGCGCCTGAGGAATCGCCGCTATCGCACATAAACAGCGATAGTGTTAACGAGGAGCAAAAGGGCACGGAAAGAGAAGGGACCTACTTCTAAGAGGCAGCTATTTTTCACTCTAACCCCTCTGAATTCCGCTGCTGGCTGATTGATCTCGCAACCCCGGAGCTCCCAAACTCGCTTCTGTCCCGGCTGCGGAGTTCAAAGCGCTGACCGCGGGCAGGAGGGGAGCGAACGCGGCGGGGTCCAGGCGGAGGCTTTTTTTTTTGCAGGCCCCGTGGTCCTCAGCACGCCGGCACAGCTCATCGCCCCCGTGGTGGTGGCCAAGGGGACGCTCTCCATCACCACCACGGAAATCTACTTCGAGGTGGACGAGGATGACCCGGCCTTCAAGAAGATCGATCCTAAGGTGAGTGCGGCGAGCGGGCGGCCCCTGTCCCCGGTCCGGTCCCGGTCCCCGTCCCCGGTCCCGTCCCACGTGCGCCGGAGCCGCCCCCTTCCCTCCAAACCCCGCTCCCGCCTGCCGCCTCTCGCTGCATTTGATAAAAAAAAAAAAAAAAAAAAAGCGCGCAATGTCTTAATGATGTTAAATCCTCTATTACGGCAGCGTGCGCGTTTCCCAACAGCCTTTCCCTCGGTGCCTTTGTACGAACGTGGCCAGGTTTAGCAGTTAAGCCAATTGCTCTGAAATCCCTGGAGGGAGCCGCGGCCTCAGCCCGCAGCCTTCCCCCGACGCGGCGGAGGGTTCCTCCCTTCCGGGGACACCGGAGAATACCGTTATTTCAAGAACGTTACTTCCCGTATAAGAAAATACGGCGCATTTGAGTAAACACTGCTGAAATGCAAGTTAATGCTTATTTTCTGCGGAAAAATTTTTTTTTTGGGGTTGGCTTGCTCCCCGCGGGAAGGGAGCGGGGGCTGCCGCGGGGGGAGGAGGGGGCGTCCGGAAGGGACGCGTGTTGCAGGGCGCTCCTCTCGCCTGCATCTCTTTTTATTCTTATCGCTGTTGCTTTATTTCTTTGTTACTGCGCTGGGAAAATGTTAGAAGAGTGAGAATAGGGGAGGCACTTTTACAAAAACCTTGGGCTTGGGCTTTTTTTCCTGAAGAAAAATCATAAATAATTTCCAAGAAAAATGCTAGCGACCTCGTCTGAATACGTTTGTAGTAAGGCGGTTTCTCTTTGACGAATAATTTCTCAAACTCGGAACTTTCTTCGCAGTGCTGGGGAAAAAAAAAAAAAACAGAGATTCTGTCACAATGGCTGGGTATGACAGTTTCGCTAAAGTGCACCCACTGGAAATAGTTGCTGGTGGGTGTCACACGGGCGACCGGCCTCTTCCAGGACTTGTTGACTGTTAGGGTGCAAAACCAATTCCGCGTTGCTATTTTGCGTTTTGCTCTGCAAGCCGGTTTACAGACGTGCACACCGAGAAGGAGCAGGCGGCGCAGTACGGACGGGTACAATTTGGGACGGCTCGCAGTGCTGTGGGCACCCCCACGTTATTCCCTCGGAATGCCCTGGGAGCGCAGGGGCTTGCTCGCTGGGAGTGCAACTGGCGATCTGACCGCATTCATAACGGATCTGTAGGTCAGGAGTAATATTGTTGTTCGCTTTATTGGTGCCGGCTTGAACCTTTCACCTATACATTTTATTTTCTTCCTTATTACTGCTTGCGCCCAAAATGCTACTTTTGTCAGGCTCACTCCTTCTCAGGACCCTGCCTGCTTCAGGGACGTGTGTTCCCTCAGCTCTGTGCAAAACCGAGCAGAAACACATCAGCGCCGTATAGGAAACCTCTCGAAAATAGATTTCTTGTCTGATGGCTGAAAAAGCGTTACTGCATTAATAACTACATGGGTGCCTGACAGTTGCTGACGGTCATCCGGAGCTAAATTCTAATGTGTTTGTGCCACCGGTATTTCCCTGTTCTACAAAACGATTCAAAAGGCAAAATCGGGCTTTTTGCCCTTAAGTTTTCTGATTTAAGCAACTATGAGCAGAAAGGCAAAATTCACACAACATAGCTGCCTCTGGTTTTTCAAGCAGAAAACTTGATCCGGTATTGAAACGCTTACCCATATGCATTTTACTTCATTTATTAGCTTGTAATTAAATAAATCAGCAACAGAAATTAAAATCTAAATCACAAAAGGTAATTATCCAGTGTATTTCAAGTGCATTTTCAAATATATAATTCCAATATTCAAGCGTTATTATATAAGCAGAATCCAAATTTCTTTTGAATATATTTAAATAACATTTCAAGTATATTTATGGAATGTTAGAAATAGAACAAGCAATATATATGAAACGAAAAATGTAAACTTGTTAAGTTCAGACACTTCAAAAGACAATTAACAAAAGTACCATGATAAAATCTACCTTTTTAAATGGTATCTTCTCTTTAGCAGAAAATGTCCTTGAAGTATCCAAAATGGCAATTTAACTTCTGTTCACCAAATCACAAAACACCAACATCCACAATTTCAAAGACAATGTGAGCTCACAATATTTGATACAAATTAAAAGGTACATTAGGGTTTGTTCAGGTGGCATATCCAAATAGCTTTTACTCACAGAGGGTTTACATAAAAATACCGGGGTTTTGTTATAATCCGTTGGTACCGTTTCTAGGCAGAATGGTCACAATCATGGTAAATTACGGCCAATTTTGCTTTCCGGGTAACAGGCTTTCCTTTTTCCTTTTTTTTTTTTTTTTTTTTTTTTTTTCCTTTCTTTCACGGGGAACTGCAAAACTGTGACGGAGATAAGAGGAACGATACTTGCTGTTTTTATTTGCTTTTTCTTTGTGAAGAGCCTAAGCTATATTCCTTTTTAAAAGAGAATATTATTTGCATTGTCGAGTGGAAACGTTCGACTTTTCGAAACAGGCAGCTTAAACTTCATCGGGAAATAAGCAGATTTATCGGTCGGGCCCGGTGTTATAGTTACCCTCTAAAGTTTCTCCAAACTTTTCGGGTTGGTAAGTATTTCCCTAGCCAGTCGCCACGTTTGTTTGGCCGCGTTTTCCAGGGCCGAGTGAGGTTTGCCCTGAAAGAGGTCTAAGTTGGGCAAGAAGTAATGCGGGCACCTCCTGCACTGGAGGCAGGAGATGAGCTGCAGTAAAATCCCGTTGAGCCGGTCCCCCAGGCACGACTCGTCCCAGTCCGATTCGCGGGGATGCTTTTCGCATTCGTAGGAAACCAGAGTCTTCATGTGATAATTATTCAGGGGCTGGCCCGGCAGCTCCAGGTGACGGTCCCGTAAGGTTTTGAGGATGGAGAGGCATTTCTTCCTGCAGCCGCCCATCTGCAGTCTGTTCTCGGCTTCCGCGAACTGCAGCACCCAGGCATCGCTCTCGGCCGAGCTCTGCTTGCCGGCCAGCGAGTGGCACTCCTTGGACAGGAGGTTGAAGCCCTCCGCCTTGACCTCCGCCACCCTGTTGGGTCCCGGCCAGGGGATGTGGGGCAGCGGCCAGTGGGCAGCGCTCCGCGGCCAGATCCCCGTGCACTTGAACGCCGGGGTGATCTGCACGACGTACCGATCCCTGATTCTCAGCTTCACCTCGCTGGTGTCCGCCACCATCTTTACCACGTCTCTGTAACTGCACTTATCCACGGCTTGAGCCACCAGAGTCTGAAATCTGGACCGGATTTTGCGAGCGGAGAGGTAGCCAGACGCCGTGATGAACTCCACCCAGAGGGACATACTCCTCTTGCGCCCGTCGCTTAACTTTAACACAGCGCAGCCCGGCAGGGAGCCGTCGTCCACGAAGTTGAAAACCCCCATTTGGTTCAGGTACAGCACGACTTCGAACTCCGTGGGGGAGATGACTTCCAAGCCCTCGTAGCGATTGTCCATCTCGTTCAAGGAACTGATGAAGCGAGGCTCCTGCACCTCCACCTCCTTCAGCACGTCCGACACCACTTTGCAGACTTCTCGGATCGTTTTGGCGATGGCAGCTTTCCTGGCTTGGCATTTCTCGTTGTAGTATTTATTCAGATGATACACCAGCTTGGCCTGGGCCGCGATCATGTTGGGGCAGAGATCCGGATTGTATACCGGAGTCTCGCAGTAGGCTGTGGGATCCAATGCGGCTGCTAGGGCTGGAGCCAACTTCAGAGGAGAAACAGGCTGCCGCACTCTGCAATGTAACAAATGTTTTTCGGGGGATTTTTTTCCTCCCCCTTTTTTTAAAGGGTCCGTGAGTGAGAGGAAAGCATCGAGAGCTGCACCTTCCCCAGCGGCAAGAAAAACAAAAGTTGCACTGAGACACAGCGAGGCTTCCAGTAGTCAAAATAATAAAACCTCTTCGTATTTATTTATGTTTTCCCGTAGTAATCACCGTGTGTGTGTGTGTGTGTGTGCAGGGTGGTTAATCAGATGGTGGAAAAAGTGCCGTGTGTGTGTGTGTGTGTGTGTGTGTGTGGATATGTCAGAAGAAGCTGGCTGTTGGTTTGTATAAGAGCCCAGATGCACTCGTGTGGAAATTATAAAGGCAGGGCCAGGCAGGCGGGGGGCCGAACGCCCCCA